CAACTAAGTTTTCCAGGTTCTTTTCTTAATTAGGACGAAAGTTACCACAATTCGAAACGCTGTCATTTTTCCAAATGAGTGTGTTGTTCCAAGTCGCCAGTATCACAATGCATTGTATAGATGTAACACAACGTTACTGAAAATTATTCAAGAGCCCACGACAGCTTTTGCCTTTTTTGAGACTCACCGTTCAAGCGTTTCATTTCCGCCAGACACATGTTCCACCGGACTGTACTGAATTCGCGAAATACAATCTCCCGCATACCGATTTCGTTTCGACGGGGAGAATTAGAACAATGTCACACCTGTGACTACCTATCATCTGCCCGGTGGTTTCACATGCGTTTGCTATCATTTATAGAGGATAAAAGCGACGCCAGCTGAGACCATTGTTTCCAGGTTCCTCTAATTCTGACAGGAATATTGGTGAGAAAGTTTTTACACCTCTCTCATCTAACATGTCAACTCACAATTAGTGCGGTCACATTCTTTGCAGCAATTAGTCCAAAGCAAAGGCAAAATAGATACGGTATGCAAATGACTCACGAAATACGAACAAGTTGAATGGTTAAAACTAAGAATTTCCCCATTCAACTTGTTCACCAACAAACTCGGCTACAGGAGTCATTGATCTTAGCACGTTCAAATCATCAGTTTGCCTACCCAAACCCTTCTAGACGGGCCTGACTATCCTTCGTGTGGTTCACTGAATCGCTCTGAAACACTGAACCTGAATGTCTATTTTGTTGGGTTCCCTCAACTCCGTTAGTGACTCTCTCAGGGTTCACGTCCAGCCACCCTGCCGTCTAAACAACCACTGTCCTATTCAACCTCAGAGATGGAGTATTCCAAAACATGTGAGAACTCCTGAAGTGAGCATCTTTCCATCATCATCATCATCATCATCATCATCATCATCATCATCATCATCATCATCATCATCATCATCATCATCATCATCATCATCATCACCACCATTGTCAACTTTAATAACCGCGTACTCGTCGTACGGTGGTTGTAGCCGCCGCAGTTGTGTTCCTCGATAATTCGGGGAGTTGGGGTAGGTGGCTGAGCATTGCAAGCGGGAGATGGTAAATTGGTGCATAAGTCCAGCAATGTCCGTGGGCTGTCTAGTGAGGGTGTTGGCAATGGAGCTACACATTTAAAGGCAATAGGTTGGATGCACGAGCACCATCGAGGGTGCGACTGGGTTATGTCTGACAATATCTCCAGCTATTGATGTGGCCCGTCTCGTGGTCCCCATTCAAGAGGACAACAATGACCAGCGCAACTGAGTTCGCTAGTAATGGTTTTCATACTTCGCTGCCAAGTCATTGTTTGAGCACCTCTGGCTCTCTTCCGCTCGTCACGTGGTTGTGCGAAAAGAGCCCTTCGAGGAAGTTGGTCGACTGGCATACGCAGCACGTGGCCAAGCCAGCGCTACCTGATCAGTTAACCTATCGAGGGTGAGTTAGTTCTTCCGAATACCATTCGACGTACTTCACAATTGCTGATTCGGTGTTCCCACCAGATTCGGGCAATGCTCCGAAGACATCGATGGTCAAACACAGAAATACTTCCGACGTCCTCAGCACACAGCGACCAGGTTTCTCTTCCATATAGTAATATGGAACGCACCGCAGCATTGTAAACTCGACGCATGACAGAAAAGCTGATGTCACGCCTACGCCACGAGTGAGGCATGTTCGCAAAAGCTGCTCTGAACTTCCCAATCCGCATAGAAATATCATCTTTCGTGAGACCACCGGGACAGATACAGCTGCCCAGGTAAACAAGAGGAAGGGAGAAGGAATATCCTGCCGTGAAACCAGTGTCATACACTCGAGCCACGGTTTGACAGGAGATCTCGATCCGTTTGGATTACATTACAGAACGCCTTCAAAGTAAAATATGTTTGCCACTTTTCTTCAATGAGGTTGCGCCGACGGGAAAACACAAATTCATTCGAAAACACATTGAGGAAACTCAAATAGTTCAAATAAATGCAAGCCATCAGACACGCGTGCAGTCTCGTAATACACGATGCACTAATTACGAAAGCTTTAATAGTTTGATTTGCACTCCTAAATGTACCAATGTTTGAAATTGATTTGTGTGCTCCCAAACGTTTCTTCCTTTATGTTCCACTTCTCAGATGTGCCTTGGATTCTGCCTGCCGTTCAATCTACTTCAACGAAAACGAGCGCAAATGCATCCATCCACTACATGCGGATTCACTACTCCCTCAGACAATTACCAAATCTCAGCTGGGCTGGTCGAGATTCGCCAAAACCCCTCAGGGAAACCCATAGTACGACGATTCTGCGAGTTGCCCGCACCTCGATTTCGCCTGTCGTGCAATTTTGCTTGCCACTTGCTCACCTGAATTACAGTTTAATTCAACTCCTTGTTTGTAATCGAGTCATAGCAACGCTGCTGAGCTTCACTCATTCGAGTGATGGATGCAAACTGCCACTCATGTGACCCAACTGTGGGTGGCGTTGAGGATCGTTTACTGTAAATCAGAATAGGCGCGTCAAAATTCACCAATAGTGAAATGATCACGTTCTGTCGTCCTGAAATCTGTCTTCATTAGGTTGACTCGCCTCATACACGCGACTTGGTTTGTCAACATCATACTTCGCATACAGTCTCCCATATTTGGAACACTTTGAACACACTAACGAAATAAATTGTGTGTTACGATGAGACAGTTGATCTCATCTGAAAGCAACGGGTGTGATGTTGCCCTAGCAACAATGTTTACTTAAGTGAATATAAACGTGATAGATGGATTGTGTTTGTTGTATCTCTTTAACTTCGCTGGCGCTACTGGGTTATAGTCAGAAAACAAGAAGGCGTCCAAAAGGAACTGTGCAGTAACGCAATTTCAACTCTCTCTCTATATATATATATGATTCACTTGTGACCGCATTTGATGGTCGATGCACTGTCAACCAACCAGTGTGTCTCCTACACGGCCGCACCGATACTCGGGCAGTTGTTCCTTGGATCCGATCGATCATAGATGGCCGTCTGTGCGCTTGTGTACTGGGTGCCTTGGCCATGGAGTGGGCGTGAAACTTCTGTGTAACTTTATGACCTTTCTCCGGCACATAGTGAAATCTGACATGATTCAGACGTGCGGGCATAATCGCACGGCCTTGTTTCACATGATGCCCAGCCGTATTAGAGTGAAAGTCCTAAGGGATCACAGTGCAATTTTAACTTTGTCCAACGGCCTAGTCGCCATCCTGAAAGATGTCGGTCCTTTATAGCGAAATAAATTCTACACCCAAATGAAAACCGTTCGCTTAACGTAACATGTACAGTCCAGTCAGTCGTGCTCAAATTTTGATCTGAAAATGGTTAGAGATTCCAGATACAGCTGGGCTGTTACGGCCCTGCCTTTAGTAACATCTTTCAGTCCACTCAGTGTCGTTTGCAATACAGCGGTCATTGTGAACTCTGTAGGACATGATGGCTTCAGTGGATTCTAACCACAAAAGATTACCGAATCGATTTTCTGTGCACGATAGAACACCCCGTGGGCGGCAACTGGTGGTCAAGGCGTCTTCTCAAACACATCGGTCTGAACTGAAATGTTCTCACGATCCTGATCCTGTATCCACCGAATGCTGCTTACCAGTGGCCCATCCAGAAGGCGCCAGAATTCGAAGAATGTTGCCGCCACACACAATTTATATTCGACGCATTTTGCATGTGTTTGCGACCTGGTTTTTAGCGTGCACACACGTTGTGCACTTTTGGTGGTTGTTCCGGCGGGAAACACCAGCTTTGAAGGTTCAGACCGTGCATTGACCACAATCTCCTGTTTCATTTTTTTCCCGGAAACATCAGCCTAATCCGGGGAGTGGATGGAGTTCCCATGTCCACGCGCCTCTAGAATATCGCCACATGCATCACGTGTACACAATGAAACCAACGATGGAACATTCATTGTTAACTGAGGTAGATGTCTTGAAACATCGCATAGCCGAATAATAGCCCTAATTATTTATGAGTAGAAAACAAATCATCATCAGTAGAAATCAAACCTGATTGAACAGACGGAAAAGGCATCACGTGTCCGGCAGAATTCGAATGAGTTTTCCGGAGAATAGTAGAGCAACATTCACTGCATGAGAGTGATGCTAAGAAATGAGCCAATCAGGGACTGTAAGATAGGGCGTACTATGCGCTGGCTAGTTTCAGATGCTTGCAATGTTTTAACTAATTTATAGCACCATGAAACTCGTGCATTTGCGGTTTTATCGTCTCCTCCCCAAGGACCAACAGCCAGATTTAAGGGTCACGTCCCTCTTCATGTTTGCCTTATCTGCGAAACCGTCTGATTCCTTGATAATTTCCATGTGTCAAACAGGAGTCACTATCAGTTGAACACGTCTGGCGGTAATATGGTTGACTTCAAACTGTTTGTCCAAAAGCCCGATGAGACCGCAGTTTGCAGTGATTACTCAGACCGAGCCACTCGGAATCGGTTTTATCAGCACATTTAGAACAACATTTGATGTTATTGTCCCACCATGTTCAGCTACCGGTGGATGGAACCAGGTTGATTCCTACCAGGTAGATCGTGAGGACCAGCCCACAGCGAGTGAATCAACCCACTTAGTTGGCCTCCAATTCGTTTCCACTTCGACTGCTTGTCTCGTATAAAGTGACGTTAGGTTATGTACAGATTCAAAATGGAATCGGCTCACTTCATGCCACTCTCATTCAACAACGTTTTCATAGTCAAATTGAATTTTGACAGTGCATTTGCAAATCGGTAACCGACCTACCTCCTGTCCAACTTTAACGACAATAAATGCGTTTCACGTAGCGCTGTAATGAGGTGATTCACATGGGGTACGATGTAAGTACTGATGTAAGTGCTCCGCAAATTTACGATCCCCACGGAAATCCTTTGTAATCGAGTTCACAAATCACCGCTAGTCAAAACCTGCATCTTTTCTACTCATAAATAAATGAGAATAAATAAATCGTTCACCTGTAACACCCTTTCGGTGCCTAGCTGCCATGCCACACAAAGGAGGCACGAGGGCTGGGATACTGCCAGGTTGCCCAAGCCTAGACAGGGAAAGTCGAGAGGCGGAGGTCGGATTCGAACCACGGACCTTCCGGTCAGTAAATTCGCGCTCTAATCACTTGGGCCATCTACTCATACCTACCACGAACGTCTTGGGACTTCAACAGTGAATCTGTGTAAGATAGAGAAGCCCAGGAAATTACACCACCT